ACAGCAATCAGCTCGTTTACCGCTATGTCTGAAATCTGAATAATATTGTCAGATTTAATTAGGGTCAACGGCTAAGCATGTAAATAACAACAACTGCCACCATCGGTATTATGAGAAAAAGCAATTGCTTTTCCACAAACACTTAAAAGTTTTTAGCTTAAAACTTGCATGAAATTAATTTTACCAGCCTCGTGTTTCTCTTATCAAAACGCTTCGAATGAATCAAAAGTTGATCTTTAAAGGTCATTTGAAAAATTTGGCCTATGTTCAAAGACATGATCTGACCAGAAATGGTCATAATGCATAGCAGGATATTAGATCCGTATCGTGGAACTTTACAAACACTTCAAATGATTTCATAAGTCAAGCATGTCTCTCTAAAAAGTTAATTGTTTTCAAAACGGGCTTCTGAGGAAAACTAAATATTATAATATTATATAATATTATATAATATTTAGTTTTCCTCAGCGAAGCCCGTTTTGAAAAAAAAAAAAACAATTAACTTTTTAGAGATTTATTAACCTGAGGAAAAGAATAATGACGCTTCGGCAACATTAACCATGTCTATCAAAAATAATTATTACATGGCTCATATGTAAGCTGGGTGTGTGAACATGCTTGCGAGTATGTGGAACGCAACTGATAATGTTCTGTTGGCCACAATTTCTATATTTAATTTATCCTCCCGAATTTCAAATTTTTGTTAATGACACCTTGACGGTGTCGAGGAAAAAACGCTTAGGAGATTTAACAGCCTGAGATACATTCAGTATAAGGAAGGTTCAAGGGTGCTAGATTCCTTCCGTCCTCGCTATCCTCAGGAAAAACCAATCCGCATCGCCCCTAGTCTTCATGCTTCCCTCTCTGGACTGGAGGTCACCCCACCAGCCAACCTGTAGTTGATGTCGGATCCATTCCAGGACACATAATCCTCTTCGGGTGACCGTTTGGGAGACGGCTGGACCGTCCCGACAGGGCAATCGTCCCACGGGAACAGTCTCGCTTCCGCAGATCACTGTCGCTGGCTCGCACAACCCAATTACTACACCACAGCATAGTTATGTCATAGCTCTGCAAGGGCCTTTTCAGACCGAAAAAGATAGCCCCCAACAAAACAAACAATTTTCTCATTTAGTATTGTATCTCATCAAGCACCACATGTTTTCAGAGTGTTTGTTATGCGTTCCGTCCAAAAAAGTGCAGTTCAATTTTCTCCCATTGACTTGAGGTTAAGCGATCTCAAAATTGACCCGGCCTTTCTGTCAACAATGTCAAACTTGCAAAGTAAACGTTTCAAATGCATATAGTGTTGCCCATTGAAATCACTGAAAGTTCTAAAGCGATCGGTTAGTCGGTGTATTTAGATATGATGAGCACAGGAACTTTCCTTGAGGTAAGGTCACTTGACGTAACCTGATGTTATGACCTTGAATTGAAAGACTTGGGCGGGAAAAAATGGGTCATTTGAAATCTTAAAATGCTTGATTTTAACAATAATTGCAAACACTATCCCGGCCAAATAGTGAGTGAGAAGGGAGCGATTCCTCGACCCCATGTTTAGCTCCTATAATTGAGCTAGCTGCTAGAGCCTCGCGGAAAAAAACGAGCGCTTGCGTCGTTACGTGACGCAGCGACTGGCACCCCATTTTAAAATATCAGTGACCTCTTGGGCAGGTCAAGGGCCCCAATGCATTTGATCGGTTCCTGGTAAATAACTAAGCGCATTATCGTCATTTCGATACAATCGTGTTTTCTGTTCTCAGACGCGTCGATTTATATGCTTTTTTGTTTAGGTGAAGCAATTTAGGATGCTTACCTCAGGTCAATGTCATGTTAGGGCAACGCAGGTCACGAAGCTGTTGAAAGGAGGACATGTTGCATAACATTTGATTCGGCAAGTCTTGCAGAGTCCATTGATGGCCGTCCCGACTGGCTAGCTCATTTTGATCGGGAGTTATTGACGAAGCACTCCTATGACCCTAGTGACGTCATAAATGACGTCACGCAAGGTGAACAATACAAAAGTGAAGCATTAGACCTTGCCAAGAATGTATGAAGTCACGATTTCATGTGCTTGAGGCATAGATTCAGATCATTTCCGACGCCAAATTAACAGTTTCCATAATTCCCCATTATGCTTATACGACACTAAGTGCATTGCGGATTGCATCATTTTATGACCGACAACCGTGCAGAGGTTTACCTAAGACGTCATAGTTAAGTGACCTGACCTGAAAACGTGGTTGATGTCAAGTGATCCGGCTTCAATGAAATGCAAGGCATGTGAAATGTCAGCCTTCTATCATCAGTGTGCTTTGAGCTACCGCAAAAAAAAAAATGCATGGTGGCGGCATCCACACCTTCTTCTCGGCCGGCGAGGGTTAAACCTCGCTTCGAATTATTGCAGATAATGATGTGACCGAAAACAAAGCATTATTCTGTGTCTAGAACGGCCGCTGACTTGTTGGACAAGATCCCCAATCTTAATTCGCTAGATGGGAATAAAACACTCGGCATGTGATACATATACCTAGTTATACCCCTCGATTTGCCCTCGCGCTTAGTCTATTCTAATCATCACTGTCGCTTTTTTATCCGAGATGATGTCGCCGCTAAACGGGTTGTTTTGTTTGCTTGCTTGCGCTGAATGGCCATTACAGATTATTGAAGGATTATGCTAAAATAGGAATGGGGCAAGGGAGGATATGCACTACAGAGTGCAGGTGTTTAATTTAGATCACAAAGGCATCATTTCCGGCATCATGCAGAGTCATTATCTTCCCCTCCTCTGCACTGCGGCATCTCTGCGCCCCACACACGGCGTCCTCACTCCACGGCCGGCCGCCGCCAACTGACCCACTCGCCGGGCGCCGCGACCTGACCCGTGTCGCTGCCGCGGCCTGCGCAATAGAGTCGGGGCTGGAATCCGGGGGTTCGGCCGGCCAGCCGCCTCTGGAGCGGGGGACTTTTTTAGTAGACCTACTGTACAGCCCACCGCTAAAGTAATGTAGGGTTTTACCAATCTCAACGGTTGGCTTTGACTGGCGATTGTTTAATGCGGAGTGATCGAAAAGAAGATGTCAATAGCTAAAGTTGCAGCTGCAAGGGTGACGATACATATAAGCCACATTCACAGTTTCATTGTAGTCTGGTTAATCGTTTCTAAGCTTCAGAAGCAGAACATACCCATGACTGAAACCCCACATTACTTCTGCTGTGGACTGTACAAGGCCATTTATACTGATACTATATAGGTAGGTAGGTACCAGTCCACTTGGTTATGTTTTGATGTTGCTTTAAGGTATTTCAAATAATATTTCAATATACTTAGCAGTTTTTGTTTCATGTGATAATGTGTCATAATGAAAAGCATATTCTGGATGTTGTGTATATTTTTATACCCCATTCATTTTTCTCCCTGCATTCACAATTTTAAGAACAATTTGTATATTTTCCATCATGAATAATTTTGAGCATCAGTGGTCATCCATTAGGTACCTACATGTCCAGATTTGCTAACTAGTTATAAATCAAAATAAGTCTAACACTTGGGCTGTAAGGCCACAACCTGCTGTGTTCCTTGAACCCTTATTTTATATGTAGAAGCTGCTGTTTCTGACTGAGACTCTGGCAAATATCTTGTATACTTAAAGCATACCTAGAACAATACACATGGCCCTACAGTACCTTACTTCACAATTTTTGTTCGTGAGCAGCTAAAAATTTTGTTCCGCGAACTTAGATCCCCAAACCACTTTTCTGACACTGTACAGCTTTGAAGATACAGAAAAATGACCAAGACATAAAAGGTGTAGAATTGACAGGGCTACAAAACTGCTATCTCGGATTTTTGAAATTTTTGAGTTTTGACCCCCAAAAATAAAAAAAGCATTCTTTTTAGATATATTAGCCGAAAAATCCAAAAAGTTTTTTGAGTTTCGAAAAAAAACGGAATACATGTGATAGTACCTACCGTCTTCTATCTACATATCAAATTTCAGATCGATACCTCGTTTTTTGGCCAAGTTATAGCGAAAAAACTGTTCAAAAATGATGACGTCAAATTTTCAACCTCAATTTTTGGCAATTCTAGACCTCGTAGAGCAAAACAAAGACCACCATTAGACTCCCCGTGACGAGCTGCATCGAATCGATACCTATCTTATGCAAAAATATCAACTTTGAAATTTGACCTAATTTGGTGGTGTGGTTTTACGCTACTACCGCGCCGGCCGCTGCGCAGCTGTCACCTAAGGCCTGGTCGGAATCGGCTGACAGAACTTTGTCAGCCGAGAATAAGCCCCGCCCACACCACGCTGCTGATGGGCTTGTTCATAATCGGCTGACAGGAAACGTCAGCCCAGATGGCGCTGAGATGCTAAGATGGCGCTCGACAGATAGGGCTGAGACTTGAGAGAGGTAGCATTTTCGCGCTTTTTTCAACGACTATCTTCCGTTAGTCGTTACATTATATTTCTGAGGTTTATTTGCCGAGGCTATAGAAAAAATTACAGGATTGATAATTGAGGCGGTGCTGGCATTTCGATTTGTAGGTACTGTTTTCAGGCTGACTCGCACATTGTGCCATGAAAAAGAAATAATTGCTATCCTTCGCGAAAAATATTAAATACAAAATACGTCAAAAACATCGTATATAAAAACTAACCACCTGCACTATAAAGCTGCGCTTTGACTTACATGCGCCACTTTCGAGCCACTTTGAATTTCGGCTGACGTGCTGCTGCCTTCTCCCAGCAGCCGAAAAGACGGCTGTCAGCAGAGGTATGACGTCACAGCGCGGGAAGGCGTGATACGTCATCAATATCTCAACCAATCAGGGGCTTGGATCTCAGCTGACAACAGCACAGCAGCCGATTCCGACGGCCTCTAGCGCTTGGGAATGTGTGTCTGGTGCGGATTCAGCCAACTACCGGCTCGCGACACCAGCGCCACGTAGTGGCGACGGTATATTCTTTTTAGACATACTGTACGGCACTCACCCAAGTACTCTGTGTCGTAGTAGGCGTACATGAGCGGCACAGGCGACCGCTGGCGCAGCGAGTACTCCCTGCCCGACTGGACGATGGCGTCGCACAGCGCAAACATCCGCTCCTGCGGCAGAACCTGCGCAGGCACAGAAGGGCTGGTCAGCCGGCAGACTGGCGCCACCAGCACGGCAAACAGCTCAAACAGCTGCCGCCAGGAAGGCTAACCACACCACAAAACGGTGCACTATCAGGGCGTCTGCTAACATGTTAACTGGGGGGAAGGGGGGGGGGCAGATACCCCTGCAATGACTAGATCTCGCCCTCCCAGCCCACAGTGGGGATTTTTCCGATCTAGCGCGTCTTAATTCCAAAAATCTTTTTTTGGATTTTTGTCTATTTTTTGTGTCAGTGGGGCTAAGAAATGTCTGAATTTCTCATATATGGCATTGTTTTATCTGTATGTCCACAGCAAAACTAGGACAAATGCGCCCAAAGTTCACACTCATGCGTGATTACTCAATGGGCTCAGTAAGGCCCGAAAGTATACCTCAATTTCATTGTCCTGTCCTGTTGGTTTTATTCTTGCGAGGTCTTAAAGTTGCATATCTTCTGAAAGGCACCTTTATTAGAAATGGAATGGCAAACAGAAAGTATGCCACAACCTTACTAAGGTCACAAAAATGCCATTTACAAAAACCTTTACAGACACTATACTGAGGGAATGGTATTCTAAATAAATGTAGGAAATCAACAATGTTTTCCACACTTTTCCACTCCGAAACATATCCTATCGATTTCGCCACTTTCTCCTGCACAAGAAAACGCCTAGTTTGGCTGCCGGAACTTGCCTGAACAAATATTCACATGAGAGTATCGTAATACCCCACTCTAGGAGCGATAGGGCAAACAACACGATATAGGTATGTTCCGAACATAGGCGAATAATTTTACTTCGTGATTTATGTGATGCATATTTTCTGAGACACATTCATTAGGAATAGGATGACAAGCGTAAATTATACATACCGTAACCTTATTAACCCTCGCATTTGTGGGGAGGGGGAGGGGGAAGGGGTCGGATAAAACTCCATGGTTTTCCGCAAATTACTCGCGCAAAAAGCGGCCGATCGCGACGAAACTTTCGGTGCCCTCGAGATCATCAATTTTACATCCAATCTAAAAATTTCATGACTCTGACCCAACTGACCTTTGACCTGTGGTATATTTCTCGAGGCCATGTTTGGCCGGAATCGCGATTCGGCGTATGCCAGCTCACATTATCCGCGGTTTCCAGCCTTTTTGTGGTTTTAAACGTTCAAATATGTGAAATGATGTTGGTGCCATGCATTATGGGGGGTGTCAAGGTCACGTGAAGGTCATTTATGACCTTTGATGACCTTGGTTCACTTTTTCGAGTTTTGCTTGTTTCTAGGGTAGTTTTTGGTGCTGATTTCGAATTTAGGCAATTTAGCAACCATTTGAATATTTACAAAGTAGTTCTGGTGCCTTCGTACCATGTTACGAAGCTGTCAGTAGTAGGTGACACCTACTATGGATGGCCGGCAGGACGCCTACTGGACCTGACCTGACCCGACCTGGCCTAAATGCATAAAGACATCGTCTGTGATCAAAACTAACATGAAATTCGTCATCAGCACCACAAAATACCCCGTAACACCGTAACTTTATGACGTTTCAAGAGGTCTCGATTTCCCAACTTTAGTTGGGTCATTAAACTGACTTGGAAAGTCAACTAATGACCTTGTACTTTGAAATTGGATATATTCGGCCTCATCTCGTCATAGGCAGCACGCTCGATTTTTTTCCGCAAGCGCTAGCTTGATCAGGGGCCAAACGGCTGAGCCGGGGGTCCAATTGAACCCCCTATACTATGTTGATTATGCACATTTACAGGTAACATTCTCACCAGAACACACCATCCAACATCTGTGCACAATCTGGCTACAATACTACCTATGGTTTGCACTCTACGAATAAAGACGTGCTATATCGGAGAAATCCCCACTGTGCAGCCGGAGTAAGAAGGTTGTTTCTTCATTAGACAAACACTATTCTTTAGAATTGTGTTTTTCTATTGAAAAACAAACTGAGGGTGTTTCCATTTCGGGATAGGATTCGTGTTTGGTGCAGCGAATTGGGGCACCTTGCACCGTTTGCACACGAACCGATAGATTTTGATTAAATTTTCAGGGCAGCTGCCCCCACAGATTATCTACCACGAAACACCCTCAGCTAAGAATATAATTATTTTTCTTGCACGTGGCACGTGCACGTGTTTTAGGCCCATAGGCTTCAACATTAGGTGGATTTTCGGCATCGCATTTCTCGCAGACGGGTGCTTGTAATGCGATGGGCTTCTATGTGCTGGGTGGCCGCCCCGGCATCTACCATGAGCCGGCGGCGCCGTTTCGGGCAGCTTCGGGAAGGGGGTGCAAATTGCACGTGCAGCCGCCATTGGTTTAACGTTACGAAATGGGCCAAAACGGGTTTTCTCGATTTGCTCAAAATCGGCTCGATAGATTTTCTTTGTTTTTTTAGTTCTGGTAGTCGGTCAGTAGGCTCGTTCGTCAATGTCAATCGCTTGAAATATAATTAACTTTTTTGCACGTGGCACGCGCACAAATTTTCACGTCTTAAGTCAATGGGATTTCTTGAAAAAATTACTTAAATCGATTTTGCTCAAAATTTCCACGTTAGATGTTAAAAAATGTTTCAGTATGATATGCACCCCCATGTCGCCTACCAGGTGGCATAGGCCATATATGGGGCGATTGAAATGCACGTGCACGCCCCGCACTTGTTTGAGGGGACCACCTCCGTGAAAATTTGACCACTGCTGGTATGATGGCCTGTGCCGCGCAAACAATGCGTGCCAGCGGCACCAATCGAGGTCAGTCGTCAAGGGGATGCTCTAGGATAGTTGTACACCTGATCACGTGGTGCACGTGTTTTCGCACGTGCGCCACGTGGGTGTAGCATTTTGGGATAGGCAGCCATTGGTGCATAATTATGCTCAGGTGATAACCTCACTGCATGGGTTTGAGCCAGAGTTCCAAGTCGGTTGCGATAATGACCATTGGTGTTGGGTCTACTACGTGTCAAACACGAGGCCGCCCGGGGTTCTCCATTCCGGAGATATTGTGACCGATAGTGAGGTAAGCCCTAATTTAAAGATTGGCCAAGTTTGATCGGCCGCTGGGAGACAATGGTGGCGCACCCGAAAGTCTACCCATGGGCACTGACGACCCCTTTCATATGGTACAAAAGGGTGGTCGCTTTATGTCTTTAGACCACACGTGGCACGTGGCACCCCACCTCGAGAGACCACGTGCACTCTCAATGTAAGGCGTTTTGGCCATAACTTTGCCATTTATGGGCCGATTTCGACGAAACTTGCAACATTGATGCATTAAAATGGCCTGCGCCACATACGGTGCAATGAATACAACAATCTGATGTGCGCCGTTTTAGTCTCTAGTGCGTCATTTTAGCTACAGTGGCTTGAGTTGGGGAATATTACGCGTATTTATTTCGACGGGCCGGTTTCGTCGAAACTTGCAACGGTAGTGCACAAAACTAGGCTGCGCCACATATGAAGCGAGGCATAAAATAGGCTGTTGTGCGCCATTTTTGTCTCTAGTGCGCCATTAATTGCCTAAAGTGGCTAAAATTAAAGAATCTTTGATCAGTTTCATGTACCTATTAAAATAAATTACTGTGAGGTACGCATATATATACATGTAACGTCTCGCGTTACTTTGGTCTTAATTGCGTTGGCGTTTCGGGCGTGCAATTGGCGCGTTTCGCGGTGTTTGCGTTTTGTGGCGGGCGGGCGTTTTGTGTTTTTTTGCGGTGATTGTGTTTGGCGACAGGCGGGCGATGCGGGCGTTTTTTTGCGTCCTTTTTGTTGTTATTTTTTTCGGTTTCCGGCGGCCGGGCGTTTTTTTGCGGTGTTTGCGTTTGGCAGCGGGCGGGCGATTTTTAGGCGTTTTCGGTTGGTGGTTAGCGTGCGTGCGATGCGGGCGGTTTATTTTTTGCGGCTTTTTTGCGGTTATTGCGGTTTGCGGCGGGCGGGCGTTTATTTGTATGTTTTTTGCGACGTTTGCGTTGGCGTTTCGGGCGTGCGTTTTGCGGTGTTTGCGTTTTGCGGCGGGCGGACGTTTTGTGCTTTTTGCGGTGTTTGTGTTTGGCGGCGGGCGGGTGAGCGATGCGGGCGGTTTTCTTTTTTGCGTCGTTTGCGGTGTTCAATTTGTTTGCGGTTGGCGGCGCGGCGGTTGGGCGCTTTTTAGGCGTTTTCGGTTGGCGGTTAGCGTGCGTGCGATGCGGGCGGTTTTATTCTTTGCGGCGTTTTGCGTTTTTTTGCGGTTTGCGCCGGGCGGCCGTTTATTTGTTTGTTTGTTTTTTGCGACGTTTGCGTTGGCGTTTCGGGCGTGCGTCTTGCGCGTTTTGCGGTGTTTGCGTTTTGCGCGGGCGACTTTGAATGTTTTTTCACAATTCAAAGTCCCAACCTTCGGGCCGCAGCGCTCCTCGAAAAGCGCTGCCCTCGAGTTTACAGGTAACATTCTCACCAGAACACACCATCCAACATCTGTGCACAATCTGGCTACAATACTACCTATGGTTTGCACTCTACGAATAAAGACGTGCTATATCGGAGAAATCCCCACTGTGCAGCCGGAGTAAACAACGCGCTGCAAATATTTTCCAGCAAAAGATTTGCTGTCATACTGTCATAGTGACATAGGCGGCGGAACGGGGAGGGCATCGGGGCACTGTGCCCCCTTTGATTTTGGCATTTTAACATTAGCCCTATGGGCGTTGCATGGAAAGAATGGGACCAAAAGTCGGCAGTAACCCCCCCCCCCCCCTTAATTGAAGTTGCTCCGCCGCTACTGTTAGCTGTCAAGCAGACTTGACCAGAGGCCAGTTTTACACAAAAAAACCGCCGGCCGCCGAAATAAAATATGAAGCCGAAAAATTGCCGCCACACAGCCAGGAGTTTAAAAAAAAAAAATCCAGCCGACTTCGGCCGGAAATTATTTGTCGCCGGTAGTCAGCTCATATCGTAATACGATATCATTACGATATTGTCAAGGAGATAAATACATTATTTAAAGCATGTTTTCCATTAAATTGACGCGTGTTTTCTAATGCAAATGCCATATAAATTTAGAACTATTATTACTAGAAAACATTACATATAATTTCAAGAGTTGTAACAACAAAGCAGAGCATTATAAACTTTTAAATCTATATTAACCCGCGCCGGGCCGGTGCTCCGAGATTCCGCGCCGGGCCGGGGGTGTCTAAACACCCCCCCCCCCCCTTCTAACTCGGCTCCTGGGTCACGTAGCGACACGCGGAAAGCGGCAATCGAAAGAACGTCCAAAATAAGGACAAAAACACTTCAGTCATTTTTTGGGTCCGGTCAAAGGTCAGGCCACCAGAGATCATCAAAGGTAAAATGTTGACTATTTCAACATTTTGGAAACTGTCGACGGCTATCTCAACCGATAGAGCTACAGCGCCGCGGAAAAGCGCATTCGATAGCTCTTTTACAGACCTTTCTGAGTAATGTTCTCAGATTTGACCTCAGGTCAACGGTTTAGCCTCCAGAGGGCAAAAACTCAAGAACTAGCCGCATTTACGAAAAACGTTTCTTCGGCAATAACTTTTGACTCAAAAGAGCCATGACATTACTTTTGCCAACATCGTGTTCCTCTCGAAAATTTGACCTCAGGTCAAGGTCATGACCTGACCGGAAAAATTATTGTTGCATATCAGTCGATCCGCAACGTCGAGCCGAACACATCTAAGGCGTTTTCAGCGCTCTAGCACGCATCTATCAGAAGCTATCATCGAAAAACTGTTAGATTCTGTTCGTGACCTGAGATGACCTCGGGGACATAACGAGGGGTTACAGTTGCCATTTTCTGGTTCAGTGTGTCTATTTTACCTTCATCTCGATGTTTGAGAGTGTCTAAAATAGCGTCCGTGCAAAACAGACGCTTTTCAATTTTCTCCCATTGACTTATAATGGAGAGGCCGCAGAATTGACCTAGCCTTATGTCACCGATATCAAAATTCCGAGATATACATTTTATAGATAGTGTTGCTCTAATCAATCGCTGAAAGTTTCAAGGCAATCGTTCAGTCGGTGTAGCTATGACGAGCATTCTTATTTTTCTGAGGTGAGACATAAGACATAAGACATACTTTACTTACTTTACTTAGAAGTACAGAATTTAGATAGGCTACTTGGCCTTTATGTCCGCTCCAGTCGAGCTGCTTGGTGTGAGTTTTATTGGTCTGTGTACGGTATCGTGTATACGAGGTTTGCCCAGTGGGTGTCTAGGCGGTTCTTGAACTGGTTGAGTGTAGAGGCGTCGACGACTTCCGATGGCAGGCCGTTCCAGTCGTTGATAACCCTGACGGAGAAGGCGTTGCGTCGGACTCTGGTGACCGCACGCGGCTTCACCAGGCGCCACGAGTGGCCTCTGGTTTCACGGGCGGTTGAGCGGTCGAAGAAGTCGTGCGATTCCAGGTCGATACCACCATGAAGCATCTGGTACACCGCTATCATGTCACCGCGCCTCCGACGGTAGTACAGGGATGGCATCTTCAGCGCCTGCAGTCTCTCAGTGTAGGGCAGATGTCGCAGCTCCGGAACCTTCTTGGTCGCCCGCCGCTGGATGCGTTCCACACGTTTCTGATCCGTCCGGTTGAAGGGGCCCCACACAATGTTCCCGTATTCAAGGTGGGGTCGGACCAGGGTCTTGAACAGCAGGGGTAATGTAGACTTATCAAACAGCTGGAACGACCTCTGTATCGTGGAGAGTATCCGCGACGCCTTGCTGACTGCCGCGGCGGCTTGTTGCCGGAACTTCAATTCTGTGTCTATGAAGACTCCCAGGTCCTTTTCTGCCGTCACCTGTTCCATTCGAGTGCCTTTCAGATAATAGGCTTGCTGGGAGTTCTGACGACCAATGTGTAGGACCTTGCACTTGCCAGCATTAAATTCCAGCTTCCATTCATCCGCCCAGCATGATGCAGCGTCCAGGTCCCTCTGAAGGGCTAGAGGGCCAGATGGGGCGTGAACCGAACGGTACAGCTTGCTGTCATCCGCGAATATCTTGACTCCGCAGTGTAGAACTCTTGGGAGGTCGTTGATGAAGAGCACGAACAGGAGAGGGGCCAGCACTGAGCCTTGTGGGACTCCGCTGGGTACCGGTGCCCATGCCGATCGGCAGCCATCTACCGTGACCCGCTGCTGGCGTTCTGAGAGAAAGGTTTCAATCCATCGAAGTAGTTTGCCTCCAATCCCATGGGATTTTACCTTCGCGATGAGCCTCCTATGTGGGACAGTGTTAAAAGCCTTAGCCAGATCCAAGTAGAGGACATCAACTGGCTCTCCTTTCTCGATCCAGCCGCTCCACTCTTCGATTGCTTGGAGCAGTTGGGTGGCGCACGACCTTCCGGGCCTGAAGCCGTGTTGAGCGTCACTGAGGAGGTTTTCGGACTGAAGATGTGTCATAAGTTGGTCCCTGATTATTGACTCCAAGACCTTACAAGGCACGGAGGTAAGACTCACTGGTCTGTAGTTCCCAGGGTCGTCCTTCTGGCCCTTCTTGTAGATTGGCACAACGTTTGCGAGCTTCCAGTCTAGCGGGAGAACCCCCGTGTCTAGGGATTCCTTGAAGACGGTGGCGAGGTGCGGAGAGATGGTGTCGGCTGTCTCGCGAAGAACCCGGGGGTGAATCTTGTCTGGGCCCGCAGCAGAGTAGGGTTTCAGCTGGGCCAACTTGTTCCTAACGAGACCCACTGTGATTTCGACGTCGTCGACCGTTGGTCCTTCGTGCAAGTTTATCGGGACTGGGATATCTTCAGAGTCTTCAAATGTGCAGACTGAGCAAAAGAATCGATTTAAGACTCCAGCCTTCTCCTGGTCATTGGAAGTCAGGTTACCGTCCACTGTGCGTAGGTTTTCAACTCCAGTGCGTGACTTCAGCCTTGATCCAGCATAACGCCAGAACGCCTTTGGGTTGTTCTTAAGGTTGGTGACGAGTTTCTGCTCGTAGTTTCGGCGAAGATTGCGCGTAAGTCGCCTCAGGTCGTTCTTGCAGCGTCTGTATCGGGAGTAGCTTATTTCATCCTGTGAGCGTATATAAATACTCCATAGCTTCCTTTTCCTGTTCTTCAGGCGCAGAGCTTCTCTATCCATGTAAAGATTGCGACGTTTCTTTGCTGGGCAAGCCCTTGGAATGCATCTAGACGTGAGATAATGTAGTGTGGTCTTGAAAACCTCAAAGCGTCGCTGAGGGTCCACAGGAACTACATCCTCCCAGACTGTACTACGTATTAAATCGTTTAGCTGTTGGAAGTTGCCCTTGCTATAGTTCAAATGAACTGAAGCTGGTTCCACCCTCTGTGCATAACAGGTGACATCGAATTTCAGCACTATGTGGTCGCTGTTGCCCACTGGGGGGAGAAAGACTAAGTTCTTTATCAGCCCCTCTTCATTAGACAGTATGACATCTAGAGTGCTTGGATTCTCGCCTGCTCGATATCTGGTAGGTTTTGTGACATGTTGGAACAGACCACATTCTTGTATTCCCTCGATAAACTCGTGGGTGAAGTGATGGTCTGGAGCATACGAGAAGTTTGAGACCCAGTCGATCTGCGACATATTGATGTCGCCTACAACTAGAACATGCGAGGAGTTTGATGATGTGCAGGCCTTCAAGATGTCGATTAGCCTGCTAGTTGATGCAAAGCCATTCACTGAGGGACTACGGTAGACACATCCCACAATCAGCTGGTCGGGGCTGCGGAGGGGTATCCTTATCCATAGGTGTTCCACCAGTGAACAAGTGGGAAAACACACCTCTGTTGCTCTCAGTTCTGATTTGACAAAAATGGCGATGCCCCGTCGCCCTTCTCTGCCGAGGTTGTAAGCATCTGGATCAAAGTTTAGATGCATCGAATAGTGCGGGATGGCTAGCAGCGCCTGCCCAATGGGCTTGACCTGAGCTTTGGGGATCACCTCGGCTAGGAGAATCACATCTGGCTCCTCAGTCGCAACCACCATACAAAGGTCATCTCTTTTATTGACAAACTGGTCAATGTTAGTGTACATCATTCTTAGCTGATTTCTCTTGTCATCTAAAATTGGTTTCATAAGACATAAGACATTTATTTCACATGAATCCGATCTATCGGTTTTCATCCACGTACGTCATGCAATAAAAACACGAACATAAAAGCAGGGTGTAAAATACAAAACACATCCCATCACATCATCACATTTGTCCCTCACACTCACTACGACTACGGTACCGGTGATCGTCCCGCATCGTCCCTATCCAGACAGTGAAATAGTGCTGTCCTGAAAGTAGTCTTGTTTTGTGTTTGAATTTTGCGTACCTTGTTATAAAATTGGATACCACTGTACGCCAGCTGTCGTCTTCCGGTCTCGGTCCGGATTGGCGGTACTCTCAGCTGTTGTTGTTGTTGTTCCCTCCACTTCACTTCCACTTCAGTGAAGTGTAGCCTGTCGGCTCTGGGCGCCTCTGGCGGCCGCCGCCAGGGCCGCCACCACGGCGGTCTCCCGGACCTCCTCCGGTTCCGGGTGGATGGTATAACATGTTCTTGTTCTCGTTCCCATCAGGGCGGGGCAGCGGAGGAGGACATGGTCCGGCTTGTCCGGCTCCTCTCGGCACAGGGGGCACCAGGACTCTCGACATTCGTCTCTGTTGCACCCCTGGCATCCGCCTGGGATCGGAGACGGGGAGCGTCCGATTCTGTGCAGGTAGGACCGGGCACCAGACCAGTGCCCGGCCCTCAGCTGGTGGACATCCACCGCGCTGGACCGCTCCAAGCCGGTAACTCGGGGCGGTAGGCGGTCGCCCATCACGGACCGAAACCACCCGGCTGGCCAGTTCTTGATGGTAGCCTCTCTGGCGGCTCTGGCTACTGCTCGGCAGATGGTCCTGGTGTCGACGGGGATGTCCTCCTGTGGTAGCTCCGCCGCTTCCTTTGCTATGGCGTCTGCCCGCTCGTTGCCTTCGATCCCGCAGTGGGAAGGCACCCACTGGGCTTGAATCAGGCGGTGACCCTCCCGGGACAGACGCGAAAACGCCCGCCAGATCCTGACGCCTAGCGGTGACGTCTGCGCGGTTGGCCCCGCCCGGAGGGTAGCCAGGGAGGCCATACTGTCCGTGCAGATCACGATGGGGGTGTCACGGTCTCGTGGGTTGTCGAGCAGGTGCTCAAGCCCGGACGCCAGGGCGAGCATCTCTGCTCGGTAGCTGGAGCAGTGTCGACCGGCCGGTGTCTTCAGGTCTTCCTCCTCCCCGTCCGACCAGATGACCACAGCTCCAGAACCTCCGTCCTTGACGCCACCCTCCACGGAGCCGTCTGTCCACAACCAGGTTGCTCTCTGTGGCAGAGCGGCAAGATGACGGGTGGCAGCCCGTATCTTCTCTCCCTCTGTCGCACCGGTTCGTAGCGGCCCCACGTCCAGGCAGAATGTGACGTTTCCTCCGCGCTCCCACGGCAGGATGCGAGGAGGCAGCACCGGTTCGATTGGTGCGGTGACCTCCACCTCAGCCAGCATCTGGCGGCCCAGCGTTCGCCACCCCCGCACAGAAGACAGCCGCGAGGGCGCCGTGGCCTCAGCTGTCCTGCGCAGGGGGTCGGTCGGCGGTAACGCCAGGGCACGGCCCAGTACCCGAGCGGCGAGGACCTTCTTCCGTTCTTCCATAGGGGCCAGCCCCGCCTCCGCCATCACCGCGTGTGTCGGCGTGGAGCGGGGGCATCCGGTGACGATCCGCGCGGCCGCCCTCATCTCGCGCTCAATGAGCTCGGCGTGAGACGGCGCAGCTGCTGGCAGCCATGCAGCGGCAGCGTGCTCCAGAGCCCCCCGGACATATCCGTTTGCGACTGTTCGCAGGGCCTGTTCGTCCAGCCCCCAGCTACGGCCGGCTAGGCGTCTCAGGTGAGCGACGTGGGGGCGGACCCGTCTTCTCAGACGGCGGCAGTGTGCTCCGAACTGGAGTCGGCGGTCGATCTCGATGCCCAGGAGCACCAGTGAGTCGCCCGCCCGCACCGTCTTCCCTGACACCTTGATAGTGCACCCGACGGCGTCCTTGGCGTTCTGCGACAGCACTAGCAGCTGGGTTTTCTCTCCGGCCACCAGCATCTTGTTTCGGTGAGCCCAGGCGGCCAGAACGTCCGCCGCTGTCTGGGCGCGTTGTATCACCGTCTCCAGAGTGTTTCCGGAGCTGAGCACAGCAGTATCGTCAGCGTACTCTCAGCTCGTCTGACTGCCTGGTCGTACGGCGATCAGGGCGATAATCGCTGGCAGCTATGCATGTGTATGAAGCCTCCGGGCAACCGGAAGTGACAACTTTATGTACAAGAGTGGTTCGATGGTACGCTACTAACTGATCAGCGGTCAGCCAGTTTAAGTCGCGAATGACTTGTGAAATGTGGTCGTGCTTTCTTAGTCTGCTAATTACTCAGCAAAATTGATAACTTTCTGTATTCTGTGGCGCTCAGTTTTTGCACATGTTCCGTAAATGGACACGCAATACCTGATTGAGGAAAAGACAAGAGCGGTACCAATAGGCTTGATCGAGGCTTTTGGGAGCGAGTGTTTGGCATGCATAAGTGCAATCAGTGTACCACTACAATTGGCTACGACACTGTCGATGTGATTGGTAAATGTCATGTAACGGTCCATGTACAGGCCTAAATTTTTACTACTCTCGACTCTCTAATGATGTTTCCATTGAAATTAATACTGATTTCAGGTACATTTTTCAACATTGCTTTAGAACCAAAAATAATGAGTTGAGTTTTGTTGGCGTTTATTTTGAGTAGGTTCTCCGCGAACCAATCCGATACTCTGATAAGTACTCTTTGAAGAGTTTCGATCATCTTGGGCAGTTCAGTCTTTGGACCAGTAATTGCTAGCTGAGTATCGTCAGCAAATGTGATGCCTTCGACTTCGTCTTCGATATATAAAGTCATGTCTAACGAGTAAATGCTGTACAAGAGGCAGCTCAAAGACCCGCCCTGATACACTCCGGTATCATTGGGCAGTATGCCGGAAATAATCTCCTGTCCGTCAGCTCCGCGAGCCTTAACCTGCTGTGTGTGGCCTAATAGATAATTGGTAAACCACTTCAGGTCAACTCCGTACAAATTTAAATATCTGAGCAAGATCTGATGGTTCACAGTATCAAAACATTTGCTGAGGTCCAACATTACCAGAATGGTGACGTGGCCCCGATCAATGCCTTTATATATGCGCTCTGTCAGTACAGAAAGGGCTGTCTCGGTCGAATGTGCCCGGCGGTAACCGTGTTGATTGGTGCTGAACAAATGATTTTCAATGAAGTATGAAGCAAGTTGTTGTTGGACAATTCGCTCTACCACTTTAGTTATAGCCGGCAAAACTGATATTGGTCGGTGATCTGCAGGCTCCGTGGCATTAGCCTTCTTCGGTAATAGTGTGATCACCGCATGCTTCCAAGAGCTGGGGACCTGGTTTTTTGTCAGACTTGAGTTCACAATGTTATGCAAGACATGCCCTATTCCATCGAAAAACTTTTGCATCATCTGCACGCTGATCCCGTGAGTGCCTGTGGAGGTTGAAGGTTTCATGTTGAAAACAACCGCGCGCAATGTGTCGATGTCGATAGTTGACATTTTAAATCTACATGTATGTACGCGTGGTAGCCTAACATGCACATGTTTACTTGGTCGCGGAACATTGGCGGATATAGCTTGACCTATCTGAGAGAAATATGAATTTAGTGCATGGGGCGTTGCCTGAACCGAGCTCTGCGTACCCTTTTTGTCACCAATAATAGGACGTAACACACGCCACATCCTGGCGGGCCCAGCCTTCTGGCAAGGGCGCACACAAGGGGGGGGGCACACGGGCCCGTGCCCCCCCCCCCCATTCGAGTTGGGGGGCCCAACTCCCCCTCTTTATTATAAGTTCGGCGAACGGCCACGAAATTTTCATTTTTCATGAAATATTCGTGGTGGTCGTGACGAACCGTAAAAGTCGCGCGGTGGACACCGACTGGTCTGCGAAATGCCAAGACATTGGAGGAAAGATCCCGAATCGGTCCGCGACATAGGATGACTTGCATATTCGTGCACATTCGTGTACCAAAATTCGGCAGTGTAACAAGGGCTTTAGAAGCGAATAGGACCAAGATACGTATTACAGGAACTATTTCTTTCCAAAAAGAAACATTAAAATGCAAAATAATAGGTATTTTTTCATTTGCTTCTTTGAAATAATAATTAAAAAAATATGTCGGTATTTTGTCAAGTTTTCAAAAATAAATATAGTGAAAACCAAAAAGAAAATATCAAAGTACTTCAGCACTACAGACGAATCAAGAGAGGCAAGTGCTCAATGAGTCAAAGCAAGACAACTTTATGTTTAACTTTTTTTTGTTAAGTTAATTGAGAATATTCTGAGCAGATTAAATGCAAAAAAGACATAAGATATTAAGTTTTTAATTCAGTCACCTCAATTGCTACGGAAGTGCGCCACATTTGTATGCTATTCCGTTTGTAGTGCGCATTACCTTCCGTCAGGCCGAGAGCCAAACTGGATCCGTTTGACGTCACTGATACGAATTTGCTCATGTAGTCGGTGCACCTGAATGCGTTCTTGGGGAGCTGATGCGAATTAGCGTAGTGCGTATTTGGAACGGATCGCTCATGTAACGAGGCACACGATTCGGGCCGTATTTCACAAGAACTATTCCTTGCTGAATGGAAGCGTCAAAATGCAAAATACTTAGCGTTTATTTATTGGCTGCCTCGTAGAAAATAGCAAAAAGAAATGTTGGTATTTCGGTTTAGTCTTTGAAGGTGAATTTGATAAAGATCAAAAATAAAATGAATGAAATATTTTGATAGATAATTTTTTTCTGACCAACCTGCTGTCGCTGCATGGCGAATCAGTGCACAGTGACTTAAAACAAGAAAACTTTGTTTTCATTTTTTGATTTCATGTTAATTTTAAATGTTTTTGAGCCTATCAAATGATATAAGTATTTAAAATTAGTTCAGTCGTCCCGGTAAATGCCGCAACTGCGCCATGACTGTACGCTAATCCTATTCCGTTTGTGATGCGAATTACCGGCTTTCGAGGAGTCAGCCCGGGTGAGCCAAACAAGATCCGTTTGACGTAGATAAAACGAATTAGTCTCATGTAACCGGTGCCGTAGATACGTTTGTGGGGAGCTGATGCGCATTAGCGTAGTGCGTATTTGGAACGGATCGCTCATGTAACCCCGGTAAGTGTCTAAAGCGGTCAAGAACACGCGACAAAAAGCTTCCCATGATTCAGCAGTAGTATCACATGTCCATACCACATACCAATCTGTGCGATATAGCGTGTCATTGAAAGCATCAACATCAACACGGCCCAAACATCTCTTGCGTACGGGAACATCCCTGCCAGCAGGTCTCCGGCGGCCCTGACGGAGCAGCACGCGAGTTATATCATGTGGCTGAGGTCAGGTCTGAGGTCACTTGGCGTGACCTGGTGACCTGACCTAAGGTGACCTGGGTCTGAAATTTTCACATGTGCGGAAAAGATGCACGAACAGGTGTGCCAAAAACGGCGGCGCGGAGCGCCGCCGTTTTTATGACACTAACCGCATTTTCAGGTCCTTGTCAATGACCTATGACGTCATTGGTGAACCTCTACATGGTCCTCAGATGTCACAACCAGGTGGGTGACAGCACGTGATCGCCTGAGGCGGTGGGGTAAAAATATTTTCATTTAATGCTCAATGCAATCGCTGCGACTTTTTACAAGACCTTCTCCTCAGTTGGGGAAACTACGAGGCGAAAATCAAAAAATTGATTGGGTCAATAAATGGACTTTTGCTGACCATATATGGGCATAAATGCAGCCCTCGCTACAAAGGGTGAAAAACGATGTAACAAGCCGGTACTTGCGGTATCGCGTCCACTTATCGGAGAGAAAAGGCTTCCATTTTCCACTAGGAATTAGCGTGATTTGATTAAATTCGGCGAATTGACTTAAAAATGGCGATAGGAAAACGGCTTTTCTGCAGGTTCTGGGCGTCACAATCAGCTGGCCATTCAATAAATGGATTGGTGTTTTGAAAGAAAATTGTTAAAAGATTTAATTTAATTACAATAAACAAAAATATTTAATTTTAAAATAATAACTTAACCACAATTAGAAAAACCATAAACAAAATAATAAAAATAATGACATTTTTAAACCACGGTACTGCTTACGTATTTTGGCGCGTCTGTTTCAATCCGCCATATTTGCCAATCACTGATTGACCTTGTGTTGTAACTCTGCGATTTAGAGCCGCCAGTTAATTGTGCACCGAGTGAGTGTGAGCCTTGTGTGGTTAAAAAACATTCCTATGCCTTATATTTTCATTTGAATGCTAGGATGCATTGAAAAGATGAAGTCTGGTTTATGACCATATATGGTCATCGCCCCGCCCACTCCAGCCGTTGATTGGCTAATCCAATTTTTGTTTGGCTCCTCGTAGTTTCCCCAACTGTCCTCGTCGATGTTTCTTGCTTTCAACGACTGGTCCCCGAGTGATGACTATCCTCACGCAAGATAGGATGAATGGAGCTAGCAATTAAGCCACAAAAAAAAACATCGAAAATGGTACAAAACACTTCTTTTGAAGGAGATGAATTGAATGGTTTTGGAGCCTCACGAAACATGTTCAGATATGACGCGTAAAACAAACTGACGCATAAAGACTGTGTTCAAAAGTGTGAGCGGCAGCTCCGCAAGCACTTATTGACAAATGAAAATCGTACGTACTGCTCGGTCGCCTGGCCATAGCAACAAGTAAGCGTCAAAAATTTCGAACACTATCTGAGTGCGCCAAGTTCGACTACACTACATCGAGGACGATGGGTGATGGTTGCCAGCTGATTAAACCCTCGCCCCGTTGGGGGGGGCCATTTTGCCCCCCCCCCCTGTGGTTTTTCCTGAATAGCAAGAAAACGGCGGCGCGCAGCGCCGCCAAATTTTCAGTACCTTCCCGGGCATCAATTTGACACCTTCACACCAAGTCTTAGGTCACCTTAGGTCAGGAGTTATTGAGGTCAAACTGAGGTCATGTTCGAGCAAAAATGAGCAAAAAACATGCAATCTTGAAACAAATCTACAGTTATCAAGCAATTTCAAAGTAGTTCTTTATATGGTCTAGTAGACAAAAAGCGGCGCTACAAAACT